ACACACACTCTCTCTCACACACACTCTCTCTCACACACACTCTCTCTCACACACACACTCTCTCTCTCACACACTATCCCTCACACACGATCCCTCACACACGATCCCTCTCTCTCACACACACACTCCCTCACACAAACACTCACACACTTCCTCACTCCCTCACACACACACACTCACTCACACACTCTCTCTCACACACACGCACACACTTCACACATGCACACTCACTCTCTCACATGCACACACTCACTCGCTCTCTCTCACACACACACACACACACACACTCTCTCGCACACACACTCTCTCTCACGCACACGCTCACACACACTCACGCACACGCTCACACACACTCGCGCTCACACACGCTCACGCTCACACACTCTCTCACATACACTCTCTCTCGCTCTCACACACGCACACACGCTCACACGCTCACACACCTTCAGCTTTGTGCAGCTCCAGTGCCAGCTGCTCCCGAGCTCGCTCCTCTTCTCCCAGACACTCCTGCAGCTCCTCCTGTCTGCGCTGCAGCTCCTCCATCTCCTCGTTGTGTCTGAACTTCTCCCTCATCAGCTCCGTCTGTGTGATCCGCGCATGCTCCAGCTGACGGAGACGCAGAGACACATCATGTGCTCAATATGGTCATCACATAATACGGACAAACACAAATAAAACAGCTGGCATTAATCAGACTTCTGTGTCATGTAAACCTGATGCAGTATATCCACTGTAATAACAAATACTGATTTATATCTGCACACGTTCAAGAAAAAGCAAATCTATGGAGAAACTGAAGAGTTTCTGGAGCGATTTCTGTTCTAGAAACATTAAAGAAATTAACATTCATCAATAAACAGACGAGCAGAGCATCATAACAGTCTGACGACCTTCATTGTGCAATTCATTATGATTTTGTGCTTTTTGATCTTTTTTATATTTAATTTTATTCTACAGCGTATAATACTTCAGCTTCATTCATCGCACCAAAAGATAAACTGCAGTGCTTTACAACTATAGGACAGGAAGAGCTAAATAAACTTATCACTGCATCTAAACCAACAACATGCCTGTTAGATCCTGTACCCACTAAATTACTGAAAGAGTTGTTACCTGTAGCAGAAGAACCGCTTCTCAATATTATTAACTCGTCGTTGTCTTTAGGTCACATCCCAAAACCATTCAAGCTGGCGGTTATTAAGCCTCTTATTAAGAAACCACAACTAGATCCTTTGTATTGTGAAAAGCGCTATACAAATAAACTTGAATTGAATTGAGGGTTATGAATGAAATAACGCTTTATTAGAATACTTTGAAGAATTAATAAAAAAGCATCATAATAAATGTCAAGAAAATTTATTTTTACTGTTTTATTTTGTTCAATTATTTTATTTTGATTATTTTTTATTTTACAATCAATTTTTATGATTTTATCATTTTAAAAGTGTTTTATTTTGATTGCTTTATTTTAAAATAATTTATTTTATTTTTACGTTTTTATGATTTTATTAACTTTTAGTAAATGTTTTATTTTGATTGATTTCATTTTAAAATTATTTATTTATTTACTTTAATTCAGCATTTTCATGATTTTTTAAATATTTACTAAGTGTCTTATTTTGATTGCTTTTTATTTTAAAATCAATCATATATAAAATCACTTGTCATTTTACATTTTTTATAATTTTATTCTTTTTAAAATTTTGGGGTCAGTAAGATTTGTTTTAAGGAAACTAACATTTTTATTCATCAAGGACGCATTAAATTGATCAAAAGCGACAGTACAGACGTTTATAATATATTCTATTTCAAATAAATGCTGTTCTTTTGAACTTTCTGTTCATCTGTGAATCCTGAAAAATAAAATGTATCTCGGTTTCCACAAAAATATTGGGCAGCACAACTGTGTTGAACATTGATAATAATCAGAAATGTTTCTTGAGCAGCAAATCAGCATATTAGAATGATTTCTGAAGATCATGTGACACTGAAGACTGGAGTAGTGATGCTGAAAATTCAGCTGCGCATCACAGATATAAATTACAGTTTAACA